GAACCGCAAGGCCTGACCGGAGGCTGTTCCTCTGCTGTCAGGCCCCGAGGGTGGGTCTGGAGGAGCTGAGGTGGGCATAAAGACCCCACACTATGTCCTGACCCTGGGGCACCCCATTCTCTGTGACCAAGCCAGCTTCTCAGCCCTGGGCCTTCACTCACCAGTGGGCTCTGGAGGTCAGGGCTGGGGCAGGTGCCACCCCCACTCAGCCTAGGGTCTGTGTGGTGTTTCAGATCCACCTGTCCACTCGCGGCTGCCACAGCGACCAGAGCCTCGGCCATCTGTCTGTTGCTGAAACAGAGATGCTCAGGGACCCAGAGGGTGGCCACCAGGTGCGGATTGGCAAGGGCAGGGGTGGGCACTGCCTGTGAGAGGGGCCCACCAGGGTGACGTGGGCAGTGTCCGGGCTTTCTGTTGTGGACATCTGCTCACTGTTGTCACGGTGGGTGACTGATGTGGCCTCTGTGGCCAGGCATGGGCTGGGGCTGGGTTGGCACTGGCCCAAGGGGACCTCAGGCCTAACTGGAGGTGGAGGTGCTGAGGGGCACACGGGTGTTCCCTGGGGTGGAGGGGCCTGACCACAGGGGTACAGGGGCCTGAGGGGCCAGGCAGCATGTCCTGCAGGCCAAGCAGGGGCCACTTGGGAGCAGTTCCGGGTGAGGGGGTGCCTGGGGGGGTCTAGGGTTCCGGAGAGCGGCGCGGAGTGGCAGGCGGGCCTGCCCAGGGCCTCTTTCCTGGGGCGTCCCCCTCCCGCCCTGCTGCGCCACCGTCACCACTGGCTCCTCCATCTGGCATGGCCCCAGATGCTAGGATGGTCCTCTGCTGGGGGCTTCCCACCCGTGACCAGTGGAACTGCAGGTCTGGCCTGGAGCCTTGTCATCCCGGGGGCTTTTCGTGACCTGCTGTGTCCCTGCTGTGGGCTGAGGGCGCCCACCCGCCGACCCTTGGTGCCAGCTGGGCCTCGGTCCTGGCTGCAGCCTGGCTTGGCCGTGAGGCTGCTGCGACAGCGCGCCGTGACCTGACATGCCCCTGGCCCTGTCTCCACTTTAAAGGTGACTCGGTGAGGCCCAGGCTGGCCTCTGGTCTGCCGGGGTTGAACAGAGCACAGGCTGCAGGCTCCAACCTAGTCCTGCTGCCTCCTTCTCAGGACTAGCCTCTGGTGGGGAGTGGGGGATGGGGGGGTGCAGCCTCCCACCCCCAGGAGGCTGGCCCTTGTGGGCGCTGCAGGGCCGCAGTTGGCACTGGCCAGGTGGACTGGGGCCATGGGTCGGCCTTTCTCCAAGCTTTCTGGAGGGGGAGCTGGCTACAGCCTGGTCCTGGCCTCCCCGAAGGGCGTAGGTCCCTGGAACAGGTCCCAGAAGCTTCTGGAATGATCTATTACTGGTGTGTGGGCAGCCAGGCATGCGGCTGGGTGATGTAGCTCCTTGCAGCCTCTGCACCCTACCTCTGGTGAGGGGGCTCGTTTGCCCCGGGTGTGCCCCAACCCGGGCCTAGGGTGGGCCATGGGGCATCTCTGAAACTGCTCACTGTGCTCACGGAGCCTCTGCCCCTTTCCTGGGTGCCTTGTGCTCTCGCGCTCCCCTCACCCTGGTCTGCTCAGCACCTTGTGGTCCTGCCGACCACAGTCTGGGTCTGACCCCGGCTGCTGGAAACAGGCCCCACCACCATCAGTCTGCAGTGGCCCCTGTGCAGCCGGGGGTGGTGGCATTGCATACAGCAGGGGCCCCGCCCTGTCGGGGCCGTGACCACTGGTGCCCGGAGCCCATGGGTGTGCTTGCCTTCTTCCTGAGCCTGGGACAGCGTGTCCTGGCCCTTTGTCCTGCCCCAGACAGCGCAAGGCAGTGCGGAGTGCCCCAAGGGGCCCTCGGTTCCCAGATCGGGTTCCCAGTTCGCGGAGCACACCGCCTTCTGGAAGGAGCAGTGTGGGCAGCCCAGGCGGCCCAGGGGGTCTGTTCAGGGAGCACAGAGGCTCCGAGGGAGGGGCAGGGCCTGGCACTCTGGCCAAGGCAGGGGTGGTTGGAGTCCAGCCCCACGCCTAATGCACACGTGGGCATGCTATGCGCAGGCAGCACCGTGTATATGCACACATGTGCATGCCACGGGTCACGCTGCACAGGGCGGGCCACGTGTGAACGTGCTGCGTGTGAGCGGTGCATGGGTGTGGCCCAGCATGGTGGTGCACTGTGGGGGAGGTCCCCAGGCACGGTCTGAGCAGGGCTGGCGAGCACCCAGGTGAGCAGGGGTGGCCGGGGCCAGTGTCACTCAGCTCTGTTCTCCCCACCCCCCAGTCTCAGGCCTCCTGTCTATGAGGGGTGTGGGGCAGAAGTCTCAAGTCAGAGGGACTCAGGGCGAGGCGGGGCTCCCCTGCACATGGGACTTGAGACGGAGAGGCAGCTGGGCCGGCAGGTGGGCTGTGGCGCCCTGCTGATGTAGGGAGGAGAGCCCAGGGCTGGGGAGGATAGGGAGGGTGGTGGGCGAGGGTGGGCGGTGCCTGTGCCGCCCAGGAGTCCTGCCACACTGCACTGCCCTGCCTTCTAGCTGCTGCGGAGGCTGGAGAGTGAGAACGCACGCTTGGAGGCTGCCCTGCGCTGGCGGTGCCAGGAGCCCGTGTTCTGGCAGTGGATGGTGAGGGCTGCACCCCTCCCCCACCTCGGCCGCAGCAGCCCCTGGCGATGGGGTGGGGGTCTTAATGGTTCCCATACAAGAAGAGGAGGCTCCGAGGGAGCCAGGGAGGGTGGGTCTGTGCCCAGGCCCGCTGCTCCCAGGGGCCTCCCTAGGACGCTGGTCATCCGGGAGGGAGATGGTGCTGCTCCTGGCCTCAGGGTCTGTGGTCAGCCAGTCTGCTCGTGCTGGGTGAGGGTAGCTACCCGGCGGACGTGGAGCTCATCCTCACCTGCCCTGCCTCTGCCCCGTCCCCACCCGCCGCCCCCTGCCCTCTGTGCTCGATGTGCACCCTCTCACTTGGGTCTCTCTGCAGAACACAGTCCTGGAGGCCTGTGCCCTGGAGGCCACTGCTCCGGCCTCCCAGACCCCATATCTGCCCAGGATCCCTGAGCGTGGGGCCAGCGAGTTGGAGCAGTTAGCCCGGGAGCTGCAGGCCCTGCTGGAGGAGCTGCGGGAGGCGGTGGAGCCCCGGAGGGCGGCCTGGGCGGCCAGGGTGAGTGGGCCTGGGGGGGCTAGCTGTGAGGGTACCAATGCAGCTGCCAGCCAGTTACGTGGTTCCATCTGATGGGCTCCAGTGGGTGGCGTAGCAAAGCGGGCACGAGAGGGCGCGTGTGAGGCCCCTGCTGCCCTGCAGCTGCTGGCCGCCCGGGTCCCGGCAGCTGTCCGTTAAGAGGCCGCAGCCTGTGTACATGGCGGGGTCAGCTCCTGCCCACCGGCAGGCTGGCAGTTGTCCCTCTGAGGCTTGTCCTGGCCCAAGGCGTGGCGAGCCCAGCTGGCCTGGCTGATCTCCGGCCGGCGGGGTCCTGACAGTGGCTGGGGGGGCACCCGGCGGGGC